CTTAACATCAGAGCCCAAATGCAATTTCAGGGCCACCAACCCTGCTCTGAATTGCAACCTCCTGTGCTTGGAACGAGCTGCAGATTCTCTTAATATTCCTCCAGAGTTGCAACAGCTTGGTCACAGAGCCATCCTTACCTTAGAGGCGGGATCATTGCAGGCAACTTGTCAGTCCTGGTGCTGTGAGGGAAGATTAGTGAAAAGTGTCATTGACGTTGGTGCAGTCTCAGTAAACTCCAGGGCCATGTTACCCCCCTGGAATTCTGTTGCATCATTGTATCATCAGGGGCATCTTGGTCAGATTAGCCTTGTGTACACGAGGAAGATGAGAGAATGACTGAAAGTGTTCAAGGCAGCATGCGTGCTTCAATGCCTGTAAATTTCCAATAATCAAACATTGCATATTCAAAATGTTTCATATTCAATGGTGTGTTGCCTTGGCATCTTGTAATTATAATAATGTAATAATATTAATATTATTATTAATATTGATTACGATTACGCAAAGCAAAATATTATTTGTAATTACCCAGCAAGATCTGTTCCACATTTTGATTCCAATAATATACATTATATAAAATAAAAATATCAATGCAAATTAAAAAATTGTACCTCTGGTTAGTTATTAACACGTTTTCTTTAGGAGTCCCAAGCCAAACCTAACAACAACACTCACGTTTTGTCACCTTGGGCTCTGTCAGAAAATAAATTGTTTTTCCAAAAAAAAAAATCATTTCGCGTCTGTCCTCCCAACCAATAGGATAAATAATTAGTGTGTACACATCAATCAATTAAACAAACTTCTTTTCAAGATTTCAAAATGCACTCAATTAAAATCAATAAAAGAAGCAAAAAAAATAATAAAGCTGATATCGCTGGGTAAGTGTTTTTAAGGATGGTGGTGGTTTATTGCCCGCTGCTTGTCGTCACTCTAGTTCATTTTAAAAGAATGGGTTGCAGTCACCACTTTTTCTTTTTCTTAAAAATAAGTGCTTCTAAAAGAAAACCAGCTAATGTTGCAACTTTAAACAAGTTAGTATTATTTATCAGTTATAATTATTTTTAAAAGAATGGTGGTGGTGGTTACAATCTACTAAGGGATCTATTCTTTTGCATTTGCCTTAGACAATCACCATTACCACCAAATAATACTAAAAAGAATGATATTAATTTATTGAAAATAAAGGTTTGAAACTTTTAATATTTGAATTAAATACAAATCCTCTATGATATTCGCAATTCATTGTTAATTTTTTACTTAATAGGATAATGAAATCAATAGATACCCATGGAAATTGGGGAAAAAAGAAGTTCATAAGATGATGAGGGGGTCAATCACTAATTTAGATTTAAATGGTTGTGATTACGATGAGCCTATATTATCAAATTAAATTAATAAAACATTGTAAATCAATCAAAACATAAATCATATGAAATATCATCCTTACATTTGTCAAATCAAAGGTTGTATGCTGAATAATGTTATGTGTTGGCTGTTTTTTTCCATAGTGCCTCTTTTTAATGGATTTATACATTGATAGTTTTCACCCACAGGTAGACACAAATATTTTGGAAAAACTATATACCAACAGAAAAATATTTCATAATCATACCTCTCTTGATCATTGCCCTATTATGCCTTTGCTCTGTACAATTTTAAATAAGAAAACAATACTACACTTCATGCATTGGTAGAAAGATGAAAACTTATATGTTTGCATAATATGAATTAGCATATAAATATCAAAAGGTGACCCTGCTCTTTTCTGTTTGATTAAAGTATTTTTTTAGATACAATGTTTTATTATAGATAGATATTCAGGGCTCGAATATTTAAACATCATGATTGTTCTCATCTCCCTTGCATACATTAGGCCAACCCAACCTGACGACCTAAAGGTATAATGATGCAATCAAATTTCTGAAGGCATGTGGCTCTGGCATTTATTGAAATTGTATTGTTGTCAAAGAGCTGCTAATACTTCCTCCTTGCCAATGGAAAAAACTCCATAGTTATGAGGGGTTGCTATTGTATTGAGATTTTGTGTTTGTGAAAGGAAAATCTGACACATGTGATTAAGGTTGGTGTTGGACATAGATATTATCCTGCAAGGTCCAAACCCACCACACATAATATTAAGTGTAGGATTAACAATAACATCACAAACAACTACAACCTTCACTCAAGAAATTCCAACTCCATCATCTCAAACACCAACTCGAAATAATAATCAACCACCCAACCAAATTCATCATCAGCTCAACCACCATCATCAAGAACACCCAAGTCGCAATGCACCCTGGACATGTTAGATGTTGTCCAATGCCAACACTACCCATGATAAATTTTTAAGGAACTCTACAGCTTGTAATTGGCAAGGAAAAGTAATTTTTGGAAAAATTTTGGATAGATTTATTTATTTATTTGTTTACCGTAAAGTAGGGATGTTAATCGATTATACAAAAATTGATTTTTCCGCAATCGATTATAAAATCGATTGTGTGTCCCACAATCGATTAAAAGTGATCGACAAAATTTTATAATC